TTAGTTTTTTTTTTAATATTTTAAAAATATATTTTATATATTTTATATTTTAATTATTTTTTTATATATTTTTAAAACAATAAAAAAGACATAAAAACTGGAAAAAAGAAACACTTAAAAATGTTGTCAAATGAAATTTTATGTTAAGGTGAGTTAGACCAATGAGAGGTCTTCATGTGTAAGGTAAGTATTTTAATATTTTTTTAAAATAACTATTATTTTTATATTTTCTTTAAATTAATTATTTTAAAAGAATTTATGTATTTATTTATATTATTCTAAAAAAATAAAAAATAAAGTGAGATTTTTTGTGATATGATAATTACTCAAAATAAATAGATAATTAATAATCAAGTTAAGATTTTTAAAAATATTTATTTACTTAAAAAAAAAAACAATAATTGACAAATTCTAAGTTGAAAATGGTAGTTATTTGAGACAGAAAAGGTTGTATCATCAGGCAATAATCATCGTTGAATGAATTAGTGGGTGCAGGGCATCGATATATCGCACCTCCTGTTGTATGCAATCTGCATGCAACAGTTTCAAAGATCAGATAAGATGAAGATGAATATACAATGCCTGATATTTAAGCAGAAGAAAAATGATGTGTATATAGTATTTTTTAAACAGTAACAAAATAGTATAGAGATGAAACCCATTATAAATTTAAAATTAATTAATTTAAAATTACGTAAAATTATATATATATTACTTAATTTATTTACATAAAAGTAATATAAGACAAACACTATATAATTGGAGGAGAAAGTCCAATTAAAAAGATTAATAATTATAAAATATACAATACAATCAAGCGAAAAAAAGCAAACTCTTAAGAACTTGGCCTTTCAAATCAAGTGACTCTAACCACATTTGTAAAAATTCATATTTCTTTCTCTCAATATAACAGTTCGAACCGATCTATGATAGAAATGTTCAAAAAAAAAAAAAAAAGCAAACTCTTAAAAGAACTAGCAATTTTCTATTTTGGAAATTAACGCCGTGTCTTTTCCCACCGAAAAAGGGTATTGCCTTTTCATGACCACAACATGACTTTTTCCATGATTGAAGGAAATCCTAATTTCTTTAAAACGCTCAGGTGCACTGGAAGTGGAGATTTTTTTTTTTTTTTTTGTTTTTTGAAAATCTGGAAGTGGAGATTTGTTTGTAGGTAAATGGATCACTCTGTCCTCGTGTCTCAATGAGTGGTCAATTTCCTGCCCCAATACGAGCGGTCGAGATATCGACAACGTTAAGTGTTGATAAAGAGCTTGTGGTCGGGCAAATTCATTTTATTCCAACAATCGGAATCACAAGACATGACCAAAAAAAAGAAAAAAGATTTGCATCTAATATGCTTTATAATATGAATAATTTAAATAATTTAATGGTTATATTTTTTTGTTAAAAATAAAAAATTTTGAATTTAAGTTACATAATATACATATAAAATAAAAAAATAAGAGATAATTATTTTTCATTGTATAATTAAGAGAACAAAAAATGTTATGTAATTTTTTTTAATAATAATGAAATGGTACAATAACAAGACAAATTATTAATATGTTTTGTATTTGATTCTTAATTTTATAAATTTATATTAATTTACTGCACGACTATAATAATTAGTTGATAACTTCCTTTTTTTTTTTTTTGCCCTAATTAGTTGATAATTTCAAGGGTTAAACTTATTGTCAAGTAAATATATTCTGTTGTAAGTTATAGGTATAAGATTTAGGTTTTATGAACAAAACCCAAAAAATTATACATTTTTTTAATGTATTAACATAATGTGAGGTGCATATTTAAGATAGCTCAAAAAAATTTATTTTTAAAATACATAAAACTTTATTTAAAAATAATTTATCTAGCAATATAAGTAAACTTTTTTAATATTTAGAGAGTAAGATTCACATTCTAAATATACAATTAAAAATATATATAATTTTATCATCAAACTACTTACTGATAGCACCTGACTTTTTGGATTAAGTGATCTTCGACCATCTTTAAGTGTATCATCTCTTTCTCTTGGACAAGTTTCGAGCTCATCCCATCACACCTTGTTCAAAAAGAAAAAAAGAAAAAGAAAAACTACTTGATTGATAATACAAAATAATTAATAGTAGATTGTGAGGTTAAATTAACGTTGCAAGCCTCCAACGGATCAGATTTATAATTTTAAATTAAAGAGCTAAAGAAAGATATTTTCTGGTTTCATTTTAAGAGGGAAAGTGTTGCGCTTTGTTTTCTACCACATTATTTCAAACGAAATTTTCCCATAACACGTCTCTAGTTTTTGCTTGGTTCTGGTAAACTCAATCTTGTATCATAAACGGATACGGTTTCATGCTTTAGTTTGAGTATGAGTTGCAAGAGGGACTTTCCATTTTGGATTTGTTTATACTTATTTTATTTTTTTTAGTGGATCGAATAACCTTTTATATTTTTTATAAATAAAGCATATTTTTCAAAAAAAAGAAAAAAGAAAAAAAGAAAAAACAAGCCTCTTATTTTGAATGGGTATATAATTGATCATTCAATTATGAAATTTAATAGGATTTTTCCAACATATGAATATAGTGTAAGAGTATGTTTTTTTTTAAATAATTGATAATGAAAAAATAAAAATTAATATTTTTTAATCAATATTTAATTAAAATGATTCATATAGTATTAATGATAAAAATAATATTAACTTTTATCAATTTAAATCTCGATTTATATTAATAATTACACCATTTGCGTATATATTCAATAAAAATTCATTTAACTATTTTATTATTATGATAGTGTAGAAACAGAAGAATTTAAAAAAGCATTTAAAATTCTATTCCTTTTGTTTAATTTATTTTTAATTTCTTTCATCCTTTCTTTATTGGGAATGGAATCAAAAGAATATTTATGTCATTTCCAAGCATTATTCAGGGACAAGTTCCTAACAGAGCACTAGAAGCGGCTAGAGTGCTCCTTTTTGTCCGTGTTCTCAACCACAGTTAGAATATTATTGTTAAAAAAAATATATTATATAATTTAAATTATATTAAATTATAAAATATAAATTACTGAATAAAATGTAAATTTATAATATTAAGAGTTTTTTTATTTAATAACTCATATTTTACAATATCATGCATTTTAAATTACAATAATAAAAGACTAACTAATTATAAAAACTAATTAAGATCTCCCCTCTCCCAAGAATTTTACTATGTCCAAAAATATCTCACCGTAGAAATTATTATTATTATTTTTTCTTTTCACTTGAGGATTGTGGATTTGAGCTCTTTTGTAATATGGTTTTTTCTAAGTTTTTCTTGATTATGTGAGCTAATGCTTAAGTCTTGATATATATATATATATATATATTATATGTACATTTGTGTGTGTATTTTCTGATATTAAACATTTGGTATTTAAAAGTTATGTTATTTTTAACACTTTAAAGTTGAATTAGGTAGAATCTCATATAAAGAAAAGCCTTTTTAACAAATTTTTTTATTTATAAGATTTGAATTCAAAATTTTATTTAAAAAAAATTAAATTTTTTTACTTAAACTAACAAATAATTGATATTTGTGTATGTATATATATATAAATATATATGCATATATTGTCTTGTACTTTACATAAAAAATAAAAAAAAATGCTCCCAGCTACTCAACCACCATGCATGCATGCATGTGTTCTAAACAACGATATCTCTGCTCCAACAAATAAATAATTTCATTACAGAAGTTTGTAAAAGAAGGGCATAACCTGCACAAATTCTGAAGTCAGAAAAAGAATTCCAAATAGAGTTTGTAGAGATAAATAATGAGAATTGGGGTGACAACTAATGCACTGAAGCTGCCCACCTCAGAAAAGCAAAGATTAAACAGATGGAAACAAACCTATAATAAAAACTCTTAAATTAGTTTGGTTATTATTCTCAAGTAAAGCAAAATGTTTGGGAGTCTTGAGAGATCTGTGTTACCAAGAAATGTGACTGACGGTGGAAAACACCAAATTATCAACCACCCCTTAATTGATTGATAAAAGTTGAGGATATATACATCAAACGTCTTGTCTTTAGACTCTGTGATGGTTGCCATCTGGAGCCGGGTACAGCTAGCATATAAGGCTTTATTAGCACAAGTGTAAATATTTTTAAGCAGTTTATGTTTTTTAAAGGTTAGATTAAATATATTAAAAATGTAATGTAAATATTAAAATTATTAAAATATTATTAATAAAATAATATAAAATTTTTTATTAAAAATATTTTAATAAATTTATAAATTAAACTGTATTATGTAATTTAGTTTAAAAAATATTTTTTTAAAACTGTATTATCTTGGCCCATAGCCAACATAAGCTTAACAAAACAAGGAGATTTAAAATAATAATAATAATGATAATAAGAGTGCACATATAGAGCACCAAATTTAGCAAAGGCTCTCTGTCCCATCAACTCCCACACCCTATATGTACGATCGATCTGAGTTCTTTGAAGCTAGATCTAGAGAACAATATTGTTTTGACCTTGGACATTGCTCTTTGGCCTGAATAACCAAAAAATAAAAAAAAACCACATTTGTTTTTGCATTATTAATGGTCTTAATTTATTATAATTAAATTAGTTTTAATTGATATTTTATATAATTTAATAATTATATTAATTTATTATACTATTTTAAAAATAATTATTAAATAATAATATATTTTTTGTGAAAATAAAATACTTTTAAAATTACAATTATACAATTTCACAACAATCCAAAACAAAGCCAACCAACTTCAAATTTTTAAAGAATTAAGGGTGGTAATATAAGAATAACTTTTTTAATATCATCATTGTATATAATTTTTATATGTTATAAAATGAATAGATATATTCAATATTATAAATTTTAAATGAATAAAAAAATTATTATTTAAATGACACGTAAAATTATATATAAAAAAACATAAAAATATTGTTTCTAAATTATTTTCTACAAATTAATTCCTTGTGACCTTCTAAGGTGCATGCATGTTTCTCAATTGAGAAAACACGATACCCTATTTCTTCCATGGATGACTTCTCTTTTATCGAACCGGTATTAAAAGAAAAAAAAAAAATCCTCGTATTTTAGAAATGGAAAAACGGCATAAGAACTTGGGCGACATCTAATTGGGCTATTGAAGTTGGTGTGGTCCAGGTCATTGTTAATCGGCCCATTTTCAGATTATAAAACGTTAGTTGGGCCTTTTAACTTATAGGCTTTAATAAAAATATGGACTAAAATTCGGAAATCTCATTTCATTTCCGTTTAGGCCCAATAAATCAAACACACGCAAGGCACGTGAGTTGGGGTTTTAGGTCACTTCTCCTTCCCTTAAACCCTCACAACCGTCTGTCACCGTACTGCAACACAAAACCCTCAGAATCCGATCATGGAATAGCAAAACCCATTTCCCGTCGGCCGTCAGCACCCAAAATCGTAGCTACAATGAACACCAAACTCCTCTCTCTCAGAACCCTCATTTCTCTTTCCTCCTCCTCTTCTTCGTTTTCTTCATCCCCATCTTCACTCTCAGTTTTCATTTCCCATTTCTCCACTCTCCAGCACTTCCCTTCTCCTGTGCATTCTTTGCAACGGCGCCACGAGGAGGAGTCGCGGCAGGTGAGAGTGTCCGTGTGGTGGGACTTCGAGAACTGCCATTTGCCTGCAGGGGCAAACGTCTTCAGGATTGCTCCCACTATTGCTGCTGCATTGAGGGCTAATGGGATCAAGGGTCCTATTCAGATAACCGCCTTTGGGGACGTTTATCAACTGTCTAGAGCCAATCAGGAGGCTCTTTCTGCTACTGGTATCAATATTTCTCATGTTCCTCAGGGTGGGTTCCTTTCCCTTTTTTATTTGGTTTTGCTTGAATTGGAAAGGTTATGTTTTTCTTTTTCCTTGAATTGTCTTTTAGATAACTTTCCTGGATTTTTATTTTTGTTTTTTATTATTTATTTATTTTTATTTTTTTTTTGGGGGTCTGAATGTAGTAATGAAGTAATCATTTGTAGGCCGGAAGCTGGGATTTTGATTTATTGTGTAGTTGTGTAAAGAACTTGAAGTGTTCCAATTATTTATTCTTAGCTCATTTAAGTACTTGGAATCTGTAATTTAGTGGCTTCAAATGCAGAAGCGGTCATCCTTGACAAATGCATATGATATGTGTTTAGCTACGTTGGAAGCAAAAGTGAAGACTCATCTGCCACAATTTGATTTTATGAATGAATAATTGATGATATCCAGTAAAAGCTTAAATAATCTGTGAAGGGCGCAGCTGCTCAGGATTGTTGAAATAATTATTTATTGGTATTGTAGTGCAAGTATGAATCATATATGTGCTCTTTTAATCTTTAATCTTTTTAATTTCTAACTGGCATGGGTTTTAGTTGTTTTACATGCAAAATTTTCCCATTGTTGCAGGTGGAAAGAACAGTGCTGATAGGTCACTTCTTGTTGATCTCATGCATTGGGTATCCCAAAATCCTCCACCGGCGCATCTTTTTCTAATCTCTGGTGACAGGGATTTTGCTGGCATATTGCATCGATTAAGGATGAGCAACTATAACATTCTTCTTGCAAGTAATCAATCTGCCCCTAGTGTTCTTTGTAGTGCTGCAAGTATCATGTGGCATTGGAATTCCCTGGTTAAAGGAGAGAACGTAACTGGAAAGTATTTTAACCAACCTCCTGATGGTCCTTATGGTTCTTGGTATGGCCATTATAAGGTGCCTCTAGAAGACCCCTTTTCAGTTGGCCAAAACAAGGAAGAACCCATTTCAGTTGGCCAAAAAATGGAAGACCCCATTTCAGTTGTTGAGCAACCAGCATGCTCACAGACTAAGGAGTTGCCTGATGGTGCTTCAGATTCTAAGCTTCGTCCAGTTCCAAAAGCAGTCATGAAGCAGATTCGCCAAATTTTGAGCTCCTTCCCTGAAGGAATTTCCATTGGAGACCTCCATTATGAGTTGAAAAGAAGTAATGTGCACCTTGATAGAGACTTATATGGGCATAAAAAGTTCTCCCGCTTTCTTTTATCAATGCCCCATATTTTAAAGCTTCGGTCTGAAGGCAGCGGTCAATTTCTCATACGTGGTGTCACTGTAAAAGCTCGTGAACCAAATGGATGTATGTCCAAGGAAAATGGTTCAGATGATGAAGATGTGGCTTGCAAGCCAATACTGCAGCCTTCCCCTGGAGTGAATGCAAAATATACTCCAAAAAATTCTCAACAAGTAACTCCAGGTGATTATAATAGTATCAAACCAGATGCTGAAGAGCCTTCAAATGAAGTCCTACGGTCCCATCCAGGTGAGCAGAAAGCTTTTAAGCCAGCTGCTAAGCAGTTACAAGAGAGTCAAGTGGCTGGTGTATTGGAAATGGAGTCCACATCTGAAGTTAGTTTCTTTAGAAAATTTTGGCAAAGATGGTTTGGGCATGATATCCCACAAAATGTCTATTCTGGAGGCAGCTCTGAGGACAAAGGGCCCAGTATTCCAAAAAATTGCATTGCCTCAGGGGGTGATTCTGAAAGGGTGCAAATGGAGGAAAACTGTCCTAAAAAACTACGTCAGGATGTTGACCATATTTCTCTTTCATCATCCATTGATGAATCAACAGCTGCCAACAAAACTAGTTCTGAAACAAGTGAAAACAACTCAGAAAAGAGTACAGGTTTCTTTAACCGGTTTGCGAACTGGTGTAGATTTTGGAGAAGCAGCAAGAAGTCTGATGCATCTGGTGACCAAGCTAGAGAGAAACCGAACCGGATTAACTCTGAATCTCAAAAACATGAGGTGTTTTCAGAGGAGTCTTTCTGGAATAACATGGAAACCTTTCTGCACTCTCTCACAGGATCCTACCTTGTCCTCAATTCAAAGACCAGGTTTGTGATTCTTTTATTGCTTGCCTATAGATTTTCTTTTACTTACTGGAAACAAGCTGATAGTTTGCCTCTTTTCTTGTTTAAATTTCACCTTTTCAAGTGTATCCCACGTTTTTTTTTTATGACACAAATTAATTCCTGATGTATGTTCAATTGTTTTACCACAAATAGTTCCAGGAGTTTCAGCCATATAGTTTTTCTGCTATATTCTCCTTAGTATTTTTCTTTCCAGTTATCTTGTGGTGTTTCTTTA